AGATGAGTGAGTGCTTCCTATGCTACATCCATTTGTTGAAACATCTCTATTGGTATTCTCTCAATTCCTGTTGTTGTTAGGTGCTGTGGAGTTGGTTCCAACTTATAGTAACTAAACTGATGACTGAAAAAAGCACTGCCTGGTCCTGCGCATCCTCACAATTGTTGCTTTGCTTCCATTCCAAGAGCTTTGTTTCTCACTAATGCAGCTTGGACTTTTTCCTTCAATACCATTAGTTCTTGATCATCTGCTCCCTCATGAAATGGTTGAACATTGACCAATTCTTTTTGGTACATTGACTCTATCTATTCCTTCCATATTCTTTTGATGGTTCCTGCATCTTTCAATATTTTGCCCCTAGAATCCTTCACTATTGCAACTCAGGGTTTGATTTTCTTTTCTCAGTTTTTCAGCTTGAGAAATGCCAAGCGTATTCTTCCCTTTTGGTTTTCTAACTCCAGGTTTTTGCACATTTCATTATAATACTTTACTTTGTTCTCTCCAGCTGCCCTCTGATATCTTCTGTTCAGCTCTTTTATTTTATCATTTCTTCCATTTGCTTTAGCTGCTCTCCATACAAGAGGAAATTTCAGAGTCTCTTCTGACATCCATTTTGGTCTCTTTTTCTTTTCTGTCTTTATAATGACCTTTTGCTTTCTTCTTACATAACGTCCTTGATGTCATCCCACAACTCATCTGATCTTTAGTTATTGGTGTTCAGTGCATCAAATCTATTCTTGTGGGATGTACTCAAGGTTGTACTTTGGCTCTCATGAGTTTGTTTTAATTTTCTTCAGCTTCAGGTTAAACTTGCAAATGAGCAAATGGTGGTCTGTACCACAGTTGGCTCCTGGCTTTGTTCTAACTGGTGATATTCTCCATCCATTCTCCATCATCTTTCCACAGATGTAGTTGATTTGATTCCTATGTATTCTACCTGGTGAGGTCCATGTGTATGGTCATTGTTTTAGTTGTTGAGAAAATGTATTTCCAATGAATATGTTGTTGGTCTTTCACAGTTCTCTTATGCAGTTTCCTGCTTCAGTTCTATCACCAAGGCCATATTTTTTAACTGGTGATACTTCTTTGTTTCGGACTTTTGCATCCCAATCCCCGGTAATTATCAATGCATCTGATTCCATGTTTGGCCAATTTCAGACTGCAGAAGTTGGGAAAACTTTCAGTTTCTTCATCTTTGCCATTAGTGGCTGGTGCATAAATTTGAATAATAGTCATATTAACTTCCTTATAGCCATATGATTGAAGGAAGGTTAGGCAATCTACTTCCATAGTGATACTGCCTCGGAAACCCAAGGAGGAGTCGATATGAGTCAGATCTGACTCGACAGCAGTGAATTTGGTATAGGAATATGGATATTATCCTATCACTGACAGCATTGTACTTCAGGATAGGTCTTTTTTTTAAAAAAAATTGTGATTTGGGTAAAGACTTACAGAGCAAATTCTCTCCCCATACAGCAGTTCACATACACTTTGTCCCATGTCATTGACCACAGCTTACCACAATGCAACAGCTCCCCTCTTACTTCCTCCCCATAGTTACCTCTTCCCAGTGTCCATCCCTCTATATACTCCTGCCCCCTGAGCTATCTCCCTGTGCATAAGCAGCCCCTCTTTCTCCCATGATTGTTCTCTCCAAGGAGTGTATCTACTTGAGGCAAATGTTTAACTCATATGCCTGTATTTTGCCTGGCTGGAAACCACAGATGTGGGTTCAATTCCAGACCTGAAGGGCAGCTAGGAGCCATAGTCTCAGAAGTTCCACCAGGCTCTATCAGACCAGCAAACCTGGTCCCCCACTTTTCCTTTTCCCCTCCAAATGATTTTGAGTTTTGTTCCACATTGTTCTCCTTCTCTAACAAGGATTTCCTGCATAGATCCCTGCCCAAGTGGATGACAGTGGTAGCTGGGCACCATCTAGTTCTTCTGGTCTCATAGTTGTATAGGCTACAGAGCGAATGGTGTACCAGTCGCTAGGACTAATTGTTTCCATGAATTTTGGTTTTCTTCATTCTTCTTTGCTCTGGATGAGGAGAGACCCATCGTTGCGTCTAGATTGTAGCTTGCTAGCTTTTAAGATCCCAGTCGCTACTCGCCAAAGTAGGAGGTGGAACAATGTTTTGTATAGTATGTTATGCCAATTGAGCTTGATGTCCCCTGTGACTATGGTCCCAAGCC